GTTGTCAACATGTACAGTAATGGGAAATCCAGACTCTTGACCGTTTAGTTAGCCGTTAGCTTCACCAGCCGATCATACGCTCACTGGTTTCTGCGCCCTCCAGCTGTTCTATAGAACCTCCTTGTTTGACCCCTCTACTGAGCAGGCTGCACAGCAAAACAAGATATGTCAGAATTGCACGAATTTTAACACAACCCAGACTCACTGAAGGAATTTTCACCTTAGGGTCCACTGAAGGCAGGTTTACGATATTTGTGTGGGGTCTCAAAAGGTCATTTACTAAAACTAATCTACTGAAGAGGCAACAAAGAAGCTGGCCCTTCTATAGAAAAAGATTGATCGTTATCAGTCTTTGGTTTCTTATCTGAGACTGAGAACAAAAGTCCATGCATTAGCTTTGTTTCTGCGTATGCAAATGGACATGTAAACCTATTAAACTAGTAGCAACTCCACTCTGAGTCTCTCCTGGATAACTGAACTCCTAACTCTTTCTCTAACTGAGAGCCCAGTTACCCTGAAGAGAAAACCCATCCTAACTGCTTGGATCTTTCAGTCACYACCAAGACTTAGTGAGAGTTAGGGTAAGAACGTAGACCGACAGGTAAACAAGGAGCTTTGCCTTGCAGCTCAGCTCCATGTTTATGACAACTACACAATACTGCAGAAGCTAAAATCGATCAGTCTTTCAATCTTGCACTCCTTTCCTCCCTTACTCGTGAACAAAACTCCAAGCTACTTAACTCCTACACTCCCAACCTGAAGTGGTTAGTCAACCATTTTTCGACTCAAAATGAGTCGTTTTATTTGAAAAAAATRYCTGCAGGTAGTCCTAAAATAGAACCTTTACCTGGGATTATCTCCTGATCAGTTTAGCATATTTGTCATATTCTTCAGGCATGAGTTATGTGGCTCCACTGTCTATATGATACATTTTTCATAAAATACAGTACTTTAAATTGTCCATCAGTCTGSTTTAAACTGGTCAGGTCAAGAACGGGTCGAGTTCAGCAACAGTTCATCTTTTTATTTAAAACATTCAGATTTGGTCCCATGACAGCTTTTAACATTTGGTAGTTCTACATTTACTCACTCTGATGGGTACAGTAATGGTCATGAAAGCCCCATCCTTTTACAAACTGTCACCAGTCACAGTGCTATCAGTTCTAAAGTCTGATCAGTATCACTAAGTAGACAGAGGACTGCATATCTCAAATACTGTGTGTGTCGAACACAGACAAGTTTACTGAAAAAGAAACAGGAAGGTAATTGAGGTAATTTGAAGACAAATGTTCTTAATATTGTTTACAGGACTGAAGYGCCTCGGTTGGCTTTACAGTACCACATCTGTTAAGACTGATCTTTTGCAAGAAATTGGGCCTTTTTGATCGACAAAACAAAGTATCCATAGCATCTCATGTATGTAAACACAAACATCATCTGATATGTTACTATCGGGTTATTTCTGCTCAGGCTCTTTCGTGGTTGCTTGTAAAATTCATTATCATAAATAGTTTTTTTTTCCGTTTTTTTTTTTTTAGTAATTGCACCGCAGGATTTTAAATCAGAAAGCAGACAGAAAGGATCCCATACTGAAGCATCACCAATTTCTAAGCAGGAAGTTCATTATTCAAACACCTTTCTGTACCAGTACCTCATTGGTCTACCTCACAGCCTTATTATTCTGAGGCACTTTCTTCTGATTTGCTCCTCCTCGCATTTTCAAATTCCTAAAGTTGCTGAGTTTCGCAAGAGGCACTCCGAGAAACCCCGATGGGTTGGCTGGTGGCTGAGGTGAAGCAYGGTCMGTCTTTCTGGAGCYGGGGCTGTGGCGCCGTGGTGATCGSCCAGAGCGGGTCTCGACGCGAAGGTGGGAYGAACCGGTAGGCGCCGCCTGACTTTGCCAGTAACGGTGTCCTCCTATCACGAGACCAGCCGTATGGGAAGGGCGATGGTAACTTCCTGGTTTGGCGATGATGACTTTGTGTCCCCTCGGCCTCGTCTCACGGGCTGGAGATCGTGAGGTCTGAAAGAGCTGCACGGAGAGAGGAAGCAGAGAGATGAGTTTYATCGACGGAGTTCCTCATGGTGGGATTCTTGGTGCTCAAGCTTTTTTAAAAAAAAAAACATCTTGTCCGTCATTTTCTTAGCTGGTGATTCTTAAGTTTAGTTCAAGTTAAAATTACACAAAACAAACATTAATCTGATGACATTTAAACATGTTCTTTTCTAGCTTTTTACAAATATCAACAGACACTTTCATATAAAGTAACTTAAAAATCTTAATCTTATGTGAAACAAGCTATGAAGATATGTTCTATACAGGTTGAGCTTACTTCACATAGATGGGTTTTAAATTAGCAAATAATCAATTTCCAGAGGAATACTACAGACTGCAATGATAAAGACTTGAGTAATGCATGTCACTTGCTGTCTTCCATGTCAGAGTTATAAACTAAAATCATCTGATGATAAGAAACCACAGTTTAATATCTACAGTATTTAGGTCAAACCTTGCAGAAGAGGTATTTTGTGACGTCAGGCGATAAAACAAGATCTTTCATGATCTGTTMATGCTTAAAGTGTGTTCAGGATGACTCTCAGCAACTACGTCAAATTTAGCTCCATTACTATAAAACTGACTGAATTAAATCCATTTTTGTGCTTCATAAGGTGAATTAGGTGYGGTGGCCATTTTGAAACGAACYGATMCCAAAATTTAGTCAGTTGTGATGTTTACTTTTTTAGTTTTAATAAACTCAGTCCAGTGATTCATGAGATATTTTGCTAACAAACGGACAAACACACACTCATGGGCAAATACAATACTGTAGTAGTGGCAGTAGTAGCAATAGCAGTAGCATTAATAGTTTAACAGCACTTGAGTCAACTGAATGAAATAAAATGTTAAATGTTGAGCCTGTTTTCTGGTAAATGTTGACTGTTTTGGTTCACACCCCAACGATTCCTCTCATACAAACAGTGAGCGGCACCACACAGAAATATCTTTAAAGATGGTGTTTCCAGATAAAGTGAAAGTAATCTCCAGCTCATAATAACTGAAAGTCCAAGTCGAAACATGTTTAAGGASATGAATCCTGAATGATATCTAATGACAACGGTTTAATAAGCATTACCATGCAGAAAACTTTCCCATCCACCCTTGACATTTTTTACACAACCACACTSGGACAGACTCACTAATACCAACCGTTACAGCAATGTGACATTTGGTTGGAAAATCTCTAAAAATTAATTATMTCCTTTTGTGAACTGATCAAATTTGTATGAAAAGRAAAAATACCAATCAACCTGTCACTRTCTCAGTCACCCTCCAAACTGAATGAAGCGTTAAGACTTAAATAATTATGATTTACATCTACAAGMCTGGATAACATTAACACAAGAATAAGCTAATATACTGTGAAGTTGGTCTGTGATTTCAAAGGAGAGCTACGAATTATACAAACATAGGATAACATTGTGTTTTTATTTTCCCCTCTGTATATTTAATTGTTTTTTAATTTTTCTAATAATAAAGTGTACATAAACGACAGGACAAAACTAATTTTCCAGTCTTACCTTAATAATTGGACATTTGCACAAGTTTAATTACGTCGGTTATTCTGTCTTATGCAGCTGTCTCTTTGCACCTCCAGTCTTTTGTTTCTATATTTTATTTGCTGTAACATATTTCTTTTCTTTGTGATTCTGTATAAACAGGTTATTGTGCAACGGTCTCTTTCTGCTAAGAACATGAGTCACGTTAAGGGAGCATCGATCTTCGCTGCCTATCTGAAGATGCTGTCTTTCATCATCATCATYCTCCCTGGAATGATCAGCCGAGCCCTATATCCAGGTCTGAGCCCAAGTGTGGGAGGACGCGCACGCACACACGCACGCACGCACACACACACCTACACACAAACACACACACACACACACGCTTTAGTGAGCCAGAGAAAAGTAAGAGATCATCAGTTTAAACAGGTAGTGACTTGCTCTGATGCCAGAGATCAAACACACCTATTTTGAGATGAGTTGGCACAACACAGAGGTGTGTGTGTGTGTGTGTGTGTGTGTGTGTGTGTGTGTGTGTGNGTGTGTGTGTGTGTGTGTGTGTGTGTGTGTGTGTGTGTGTGTGTGTGTGTTATGTAAGTCCGTTTTTTTCCTGTAAATCTTTTCTTAAAAAAGAAAATTTATGTGAATCTCCGGACTTTCCCAGTAATAACTGATTAAACCTAAATGTTTTGAATATTACGTCAAGCGTTGTGATGAAAGGCAGCGTGTGATATTTTCAACACTAATCATTAAACTCGTTGCTTTTTTTAAATTAAAGTGTAAAAAACTGGGAAAATAAATACCGTCGCACTTTCTTAACACAAACAGGAAAGCATATCTTGAGCTATTTTTTTTCAACCCAGCAGCCTAAAAGTTCCAATAATTTACAATTCTACAAAACAAAAAAAATATTATTAAATGTTTTATTTTTTTTAAAATGTGAAGAAAATAGTTAACACAAATTTTGTTGTTTGATTCAATCATTTAGAACTTGATAAAACTGTTGGCTGTAGTAATTTTCAGTCTTTCAGGGTTGGTATTATATGACTGCACAGGTAGCTCACCTGTCCCGTGTGCTTGTGTGGGGATTCGTGGCTCTGTCTGCGCAGCTGCTGGGACAGCAGAATCAGGGAAACGCTGTCCTCTGAGTGGATGGGCTCYCGCAGGTCCAGCATGCTCTGAGAGAAGCGGGCCATCATGTTGAGTCCATCTCCCAGACGGTGCCCCCGGCCCGATCCCGTCTGCCCCCCGTTGACCACCGGGCCGCTCGGCTCCTGCGGTGAGCAGTCGTAAAACTCCTCTTCTGATCCTGCAGAAACACTCGAGGGGTCTTCGTTGACCATTCGGTCACAAATGACCTTAGTGCTGTCCTGGCTGCCCTCCTCGTTGCTCCCAGAGTCTCTGTCGTGGCTCGCCGATAACATTCGACTGMGGGTCGGCGTCAGCGGCTGCTGTTTCGGCTCTTTGCTTAGACTGTCCAGTTGGTCCATTTTCATCAAAGTGACCTGCGCCTCGCTGGGCTGCTCTGACGAGCCGGGGTCTATGACTAACTGCAGCGTGCGGCGTTTAGGAACGGGAGGCGCTGCTGGTTGAGTCTTTGGAGTTTGAGTAACACTGTCTGTAGGCTCAGCAGGGACTTCAGATGGTGGTGCAGATGTGTCTTCATGTGGTTTGGGTGTGTCTTGTGTGGGAGACGTGTCGGGCTGCTGAGTGGATTCTGTGGATTCAGTTTGGTCCTTGTTTGGATCTTTATCCTGTTGGAGAGTTTGATCTGTAGGAGTTGTGGGAGCAGAGGTTTCGGGGCTTGTGTTCACTGGAGGATTTACAGCTGTTTGAGCATCTTTTGCATCTTGACTTGAAGCCTGTCCCTCAGCCGGGGCTGGTACGGTCAGTGGTGCGCTGAAGCGTATAGCCTGGCTAACCTCAAACCTCTCTGACCTCTGCAAGTGAACCTGATTGGACCTTTTGTCATCCCTGATATTAATGAAGCCAATCACATCGCTTGGCGGGTCTGGCTCTGGCCAGGTGGGCAGGTATGGGATCAGGTTTGCTTTCTCCAGATTGAGTAACCCGGGATGTATGGACGGCTCTTCAATGACCCCCTTAAGACGTCCTTTTGGCATTTTCAGCCCAGTGGGATTCTGGGAGTTTGAGTTCTTGTTGCTGGAGTTCTGGTCGGAGGGGGCAGGACTCGTGTGGGTCCCTGTGGCAACAAGCGCATATTTGGGATTGATGAGCTTCCTGGCCACCGCAGCTGAGACGGGAGCAGGAGCTGGCTGAGGGAGCGGGTCGGGGATTGGCTCGTCTCCCATTTGGACCTTGTTGAGGGACACGCCTCTGGACACGAGGTAGAGGCCTTGAAACTGGATGTCGAAGGTCTCCACTGCCTGCCCCGTGATCACAGTGATGAGGTTACGGTCCAACCGAGACGAGGACCAGGTGAAACTGGAACACCACAGAGAGGAAAACATCAGTCTACGGAAGCAACTTACAAATCTGCTGTCTTACACTTTGAGAAAACCCAAACTATGGTGTGTAATAGTTTATTTTTTTACACCACACATTTGTTCCCTGAAGTCACGTCTCACACACTTCTCTTTGATTAAACAGCAAACGTTTTCTGCTCAACTTCCTTGTGAAACAAGAGCTAAGGAAAAAAACTCCTGACACACAGCTATAGACGGCTGAAGTTTCCGTGCGTGAAAATTTGCCCAAATTAGAGAAATTAGCTTTATGTGATAAATGGAATGCTGCGACAAGTCACAACTAGTCTGAAAGGAAAAGTGAAAACATTACAGACACCATGTTTAATGTTTGCATTCATAATTTAAAGTGCCTGTGACATGTACTGTGTATTATTCAAACACAAAAAGTCAAAGAAAACGTCTTTATGTTTAAGAAAGTTGGAATAATACACACAATTTTACCCATTTTTTCCCTTAACTGGCATTATTTCTTTTGAACTTGACTCAGCCAATGTGAAACAGGAAGTGACATCAAAGGGGAACACTTTAACAAAGAAAGCTCCCTGGTCTTTGTTTATTGAAACAGTAATATTTGAACTCTGACTCCTCTTCATCTCTCTGATAGAGACTCAAAATAATCTTATGGTGCGTTCACACCGAACGCGATTTCAGCTTCAAAATCGCAGCCAACGCTGAAGTTTGAAGCTTGTGCACTTTGAGGTCAGACGCAGGACAGCTGCGCTGCACGGCGACAGCCCCCCTCCCCTCCCTCCTCTGTGGGGCTGTTTAATGTCGGACGAGGAAGTGGCTTTGCTTTATTTACAGAGAGCCAGAGCACGTCACGTTCATCAGATAATTAATTCATAATTAATTCACCAGATAATTCAGAGTAGAGGCTCACAGCTCGCTTTCAGGACTATTTTTTTCAGTCTGATGAGTCGCTGCCACGCATTGGTGCAGATCAGGACACGACTGCAGCACTCATTTCAGCTAAAGAGCAGGAGCTCTGTCTGTTTCAGGTTAGTGGACATCATTCAGTAAACTGTCCCGTCGGGAAATATGTCGCTACGTCACACAGTGGAGTCTCTCTGATTGGTTGACGTGGCGCGTCGAGCTGCAAAAGTTCAGATTTTCTAACTTCAGCGATTTGCGCCTCAGCACGTCGAACGCTCAGATCGTTCAAATCGTTCAAATCGCGCTGCTCTAATCGCGCTTGAGGCGCCGCAGAACTTCCCGACGTTGCTTGAAGTGCGTCCACCATAGACTTTGTATGTAAACCTGCTGCTCCTGACGCTGAAATCGCGTTCGGTGTGAACGCACCATCAAGAAACATCAGATTCTTCTCTACAGTCTGGGTTGTTAGCTGTTGTAGCAATGCTCTGTTCACATTCAGACATTCCCCTTCGACATCACTTCCTGTTACTTTACAGGCAAAAATCTCAACAACTGTTCATCTCAGCGACATGAAATTTCTTTTGCAATATTTTTGTCAATAACATCTTTTCAAAAATGCATTCATGTGTTACAAAAATTGGACATCACAGGCACTTTAAGATTTGATTAGCTTAAATATTCAAATATTTCTATTTATCTCTCTGTGTCAGCAAAGAGAAAAAGACATGTCAGTCGTAAAAGATCCTTTATGTGAATAAATGGAAAGACGATGATTATAAAATGGCTCATTTTAAAGCTGCACAGAGAGAGGACGCTTAAAAGTGAGGACAATATCTGCCTCTGTAGCTGCCACATTCTTGTCTGTTCATCAGCTAGCTGCTAATGTTTTCTGTCAGCTATTTTCTACAGAGAAGAATGTGTGTGCGTGATTTATAGGAGGAAAAAAAGGCAATCAGCTTCCCGTATGCAGCTGAGAGCTAAGAGATTAAACCGAACCACGGAAGTTTGAAAAAAAGAAACATAAAAATGTTAATTAGAGCTTCGCTGAACCGCAGAGTTGAGTGACTATTCCTCAGGGGGATTGGTTGCTTTATTTTTTTTGTTTTAAAAAGCAGGTTTACAGCTGAAGTAATGCATTCTTTGCACCGCTCACCTGTAGGAACCAGAGATGGCTCTGTCTCCGTCCACCAGGAGAAACTTCTCATTCAGAGAGCCACGCACCTTCTGGGCCGACCTCGTGAAGAACTCCACGCCTCCGCAGCAGCGCACTCGCAGATTCTGTGAAGACATGACCGCGCACGGGGTTAAAACTCTCTGCCAATCTAGAGGAATTGGTGCCGAGGGACGAAGGGAATCGTAATGAACAAAGGAGAAATAAAGGCGACAATATAATAGACTTTAAAAAAAAAGGACGGCTTCTTAAAGCTCAGTGTTCATAACACCGCAACCTCATGTCGAGTGATTGTACAGGTTAGAGCCTGGACTCTCTCTGTGTATGTGCATGCTTGTAGGACACACCCTGTGGTGTTTGTCTTCATCTCTGTGATAAGGGTGTGGTTTGCGCTAGTTCTGTGCGAAATCTCACAGGAGCAGCCAAAGAAAAGAGTCGTAAAAGGCTTTACAATAACAGCGGTGAGAAAAGAGATTAGAAGAAAAAAAAACAGTCGAAAGTGGAGGGAAGTCCAGAGCTGTGAGGACGGAAGACAGAGAACTGGAAGCAAAAACTGRCTGGAGAGACAGTCAAGTGAGAGTGCCAGTGTGGTTTATTTAATCGCCCGCAGCACAGGTGGGAATGTGTTGGTGTTCATTCTGGCTTCCAGTCTAAAAAAACATTAAGAAAATTCCCGGGAAACGCTAAGTGTTTTTCTGTTAGTGACAAGACCAGTTTAACTCACCGAGCCAAATCACAGCAAAAAAGAAATCAGCCTGTGGGGATGAAACGGCTAAAATATTTACTATATATGTTCATAATTACCCAAACAAGCACATCTGTGAAGAACAAACTCTTTTGAAATGACTTCCATGTCTGTTGTGAGCGTGTTACAGAGACAGGATGCRAACCTTTAGGTGCCCACGGTGCATATCAGCTCTGCCACACATGGAAAGAAAGCTGGGCACCGCGGCCATGTCGATGATGATGTACACAGGGATCCTGCGTTTGTAGGACGCRTCCAGAAGGTCCCGAAAGATATCCACGTCTGTAAACACGTCCATCACCACAGCGATGACCTGAACGCACGCAGACGAGAAAAACACACACACAGGAAAGCTGGCGTTAGCGCTTCCTGGTTCAATTAAAGCTGCTTTAATTAACAATTTAACAAAAAGATTAGATAGTAGTCCTGAAAGGAGATGTTTCTTCACAAGACTGCTAGAAACGAGGAATGTTTTGCAGTGTGGTGATGAAATGCAGCTCGACTGGACACAGTGTGTTCTTCTGCAGGAACGCAGAATACTAATTACTTAGCCCAGCTAAACGTTTATAACTGCACAACTTAAACGGGAAGACAAAAAGGTAATCATACAGGTGACCAAAAATAAAATCAAAATCAGATTTCAAATAACTTCACGCTTCCAAAGTACAACAGAAGTCACTTCATGTTRAGACAGAGCCCAAGAATTTTAAGTCTACATGCCTCTTTTGTTTTCATGACTCAAACCTTCACCAATATRTGAGCGAGTGTCTGAAGTTATGCATATAAAAAAGGTAAAAGTGATGCATGTAGAGTTGGCATGTCACGCACTCGCTGACGCAAGTGCATTTAAATTTTTTYCCCCCACTGGTACATCAAGCTCAGACTTGTCTGATGAAGGCTTTGCTGAATGCATGTTTGAACACTTGTAGGGAGGTTAAGCCAGTTTGTGACTCAAGACTCGGGTAAATAAGGAGATCTCAAACTAGCAGAAAAGGTGAGCTCTGGGTTAGATGAAATTAGAGACACTGGATTATATTTAATCCAAGTTAACTTGGCCAAGTCTGCTTCGCTGTAAGTACAGTGAAAGCAGCCAAGACAGACAAATGTGTCGTAAATCAACGATTACTAGCTAAAAATCAAACCAGTAATCACAGTGACGTGATCATTTATTTTATTACCAGTTTATATGCTGACTGTAATAAAATTATCAGACACAACAGTGACACACAATTGTTTTATAATTAAACTTAATGCTGACATTTGAGAAGCTGGGAACCATTTTTATCGGTTTGGATCACCCATTATAAATCATCTGGTGTTAAATTAAAAACTCATTGTTCAGATTTATATTGTAACTGAATTGATCTTCACAATACGCAGTTTTAATTTTATAAAGCTGCTTTTGTGGTGTCTGACCTTTTTGTTTTGTGACATTGATCATCCATAAAAAACTAAACATCAACATGTTGCGCAATGATGAGTTCAGTGTTCCTGGATATGCGCTGCTTCATGTTTTGGTTCAGGTGTGTTTGTTTAGTTTTCTGTGTTTTTAATAGAAACATTATCACAGCTGCACGCCTCCTGTTATCTCTGTAACTCACCTTCTGAGCAGAAGCAATGCTTTTCCGCACTACTTCCTTGATGTGCGTTTGGCCCTCGGTGGGAGGTTGTGTGTACACGGTCACCCGCGTCACCCCCCGGTATGAGATGGCCTCGGGCCACCCCAGGTCCAGCTCCGCCACCGAGGCCTCGGACCGGTCCGGCCAGTAGGCGAGCGACACCTCCCCGTCCTCTCCGTCCTCCCCYGGCCCCGGAGTCAAGTTTCCCGGGCCTGGCGTCTCGGGCCTCTGGAGATGCTCGTACCCGGGCCGGTAGGCCTCCGCCGCCAGCGAGATGCTCTCCAGCTCGGGTTCGGAGAGGAACTCCCGGATGCCGGCTTTGTGAACGTAGTCCCTGAACTCATCACGGCCATTGGCGATGAGCGCCTCGAGCGCCAGTCTTTGGTCCTCGCTGTAGAAGAACTCCGGCTTGCTTTCGCTCACGCGCCAGTTGACRTGGTGGTCGTCCAGACACTGGATCTGAGACAAAGCCATGACCTCCTCTGTTTAATAAACAGTGACGTCCTGAAAACACTTCAACCCGCTTCCCGGTCGTCCGTCTGAAGGCTCGAGCCTCGAGTGGTGTGGCATTACGTCCGCGTGACCTGGGCTCGCGAGGCGGTTAAAGGATCCATTTGTGCTTAAAAACGCTTCTTAAAAGTGCGCTGTTCCGTGGTCCGCTGGTTCTGAAAGTCTGTCTCAGGTGAAGTGTGAACAAAAGCTCGCCCGCCCAGAACCACGCCTTTTCTTTTTTTACCTGACGAGGGGCCGGGTAAAGCTCCAGCGACGGCCCGGCCACACAGCTCCAACCTCCGGGGCTCAGACACGAAAGCAGCCGGGGCGCGAAGAGTGGTGTCTGCCTGAGTGAGTCACCTCAAAACGGGAACACGTACTTCAGAAAAGAACAGACACAAGTAATTAATCCTCCTTTAAACGCGTTGAAACTTTTGAGTGACTCAGTAACTGTTGTCGCTGACGAATCACTTTTCCTCCTCCTSTAGTCTGACGGGAGACGAGCTGCMCAGATGTTCTGACAGCTGTTTCACWAAACAACGTGGCACGAACCAGGATCCAGATTCCGCTTTAAACCGAGCTCAGGGCGGGTGCCTGTCGCCTCAAAACACTTTAAAATCACACGAAACGCGTCGAGGTCCAGTGCCGGGCCGAGAGCGAACGTGTCCGACCCGGTCCGACCCCGGAATCCGGCAACGGAAGCTCGATTACCGGGGGCAGAAAGGCGGAGTGTCCGGTAGTTGGATTATGGGAAAGAAGATTAAACCCCACCCTCTGGTCTGGACTAATGTTTGCTTTTCTGACTGAAAAATAAAAGTTGTTGCAAAACACTTTACCAGACTTGTAAAGTAACTAAGTACAAATGCTTAATACTGTTTAAGTAGAAATTTTGGTTAGCTGTATACTTTGAGTAGCTAATTATTTTTCAGGCTACTTTTCACTTCTACTCCTTACATT